TATTTGTCTTACCAACAATAAGAGTTCGATGTCGATATTAAAGTATACTCTCTGAGTAGACCTATACAGATATTTACATTGATGAGGTGTCAATAGTGCTGTTATCAGCCCCCATCTGAAAAGCGATCTTGTTTATTGTTAAAAATCATTTTCTCTAAGCTGAAATTCTGGTTTGGTAAGGGTATAGCATCGTGTTTACCTTCGGTCAATGGATAATGACAAGTCCGAAAGGAAATGGAAATTTACATGATTTCTTCGTATTTCAATATGATAAGATAAATTGGTTTGGTTATCCTCTTACCATATTTTTGAAAGGTTTAATTAACAAACATTCAAGTGTAACACAAACAATGATACGCATGAAAGAGGCAGTAAGTTTTACTTTTCAATAAATATTCTCTTTGCGCTGGTGATTAGCTTGTGGAAAATTACTCTCTTCGTTGAACTTTTACCAAACAAAGACACAAAGCCTTGCATAGTGAGTTGAACTGATTTTAGTTGTTAGATTCTAACTTAGCCGTACATCAGTAATCCTTAAGAACTACACCTTTTTCACTGGTTACTTTGTATGTAAGACAAAGAACCGTACAGAGCTCCGAAGTTCTTAAGGATTCTGGAACTGATATCAGTCCGTGTTGAATACTACCTTGAAAATGAAAATCCCCGTAGAGCTTAAAATACATTACTGTATAGTGCTCATCAGTGACATATATCGAGGTATATATCACAAAGCACTAATGAATAGGGAATTAGCCAGTTGAAAGTGAAGTGGATGCTAACTGAAGACCATGACGGATAGTCACGCTATATCGCAAATTGCTAGAAGTAGGAAATTGTGAACCATTGAACTCCTACCCACTGGTTGGATAGTTAATTGGTTCGCTGTGATTCCTGAAGGTCGTGAGTTCAGTCCCTGCTGGGGTTGTATGTAGATACTGCCGGGAAGTCCCACACTAGAATGAAGCATCTGTTCAGTGCTTCAAGTTTTTCAATGATTCCCCAACTGATATGAGTCCATGATGAGTGCTACTTGAATTTCTCAGATAGTCTGTAGAAGTTTCCATTATAAAAGTAATATCCAGATGATTGCTTTGTGGAGAATCAACTGATTTTAAGCTGTTTTTCCCCAGGAATAATTATCGTTTTAGTAGCCACTGAAGACCTGAGAGCACTGAACACCTGCTTCATCCTGCCCACTGGCGAGCAGTCTGAAACAGGACAAAACGCTTACTCAGTGACCAAAGGTTTTAAATGATTTTTCAAACGATCTCGATTCATGCTGTAAAAAGCCTTGAAAATTATATTTACTTCGTTGATTTATACGTAGGAATTTAACTGACATAGAGATAGTTTTCCTTACAGATTAATATCAAATAAAAACTGTTATAGGAGGATGGGTGGAAAGTGATTGGACAGATTGCTAGATGGGCTGTATCATGAGCTGAATGTTACAAAATGTGAACCATTCCATCTCGGCTTAGTGGCCTAGATGTGACCTGCTCGCTGCGAGATCTAAAGGTTATGAATTTGATCTCGTCTTATAGTTCAGGTTTTTTCAGTCCCTTAAAACCTCAATAGCAGAAAGTATACTTAAAGAGTTATCCACAGAAAGTTATAAAAACATCAGAAAACTTCCGACAGTAACTCAGGTTGTGAATATCCTAATCGTTTTGTTGCGCAAATTTAACTGAGAAGTAGGATTGAAAATGACTTTTTTTTAAATATATCAAAAGGTTTCATCCAGTAAGATGTTAGCTGGAATAGCATAAAGATTTTACGTTGAAACTACTGAAATCAATCCTATGGATAAATTTTTTATGTTCCCAGTAACCCCATAATGCCCGTGATTTAGATATGCCTGTGTATATAAGCCTCTGTAGAAACAGAATGAAAGCAAAAACTAAGCAAATAATTCTATTTTCCAATGATTCGCGTGACTAATGAGACCAAACCAACTTAGTCGGTTTGTTAACACTATAAAGTGGAGAAGTTTTCAGTGTATCAAAAGATGATATTCTTAGAGTAGTATATAAAAATGCTGATACACTTAGAAAATGACCATGGATACAGTCTACTATTGATTCAATGGAATAATACCGGCATCCAGAATTGGTTTAATCCCCGTGTGACCTTGTAACAGAAATCTATTCATGGTTATGCATACTTTTATATTCATTAAAATGAAATATTTCACCAAATATGTAAGATAAAATGAACGCTAGAATTAGATTTAGCTAAAGAATGATGTCATTATTTCATATGGATGTATGATACCATTAGAAATATTAAAGGGATTCATCTCATTCATGTGTCCGCAAATTATTCAAATGAATTGTTTATATTTTTATAAACAGTATGTTTCTGTATGTATCAAAGTATTTCAATCTTTATTTATTATCGTTTTTCTTGTTTACCTTCTACGTAACACATTTTCGTATACTTCATATTATTTCCTCCAAAGACTGAAAGCCTTTCTAAATTAGAAAGGTTAGTTATATTTCTGAGGTAATTCAGCCTCATTACTGAGGCCAGTTGTTATAAATAGCTACTTTTAGTAGGCATTTTCGCATTCAAAATGTTCTGTTTTACAAATATTAAGTCAACAAGAATTGATATACAATGCACCACAGATAAGGTGGTCTCTCAAAAAAATGGATTTAGATCATTTGGAAGTGAGCTTGATATAGTTAGACAAAGATTAATTAATTGGTTGGTCATTGGAGGGCAACCAACTTTATGTTGTCTAGTTTTAAAGGCTGACCTTGTTAACTGGATGAAGGTAATCCAGTCCTACAGGAAGTCAGTCACTGCGCAAACAGCTCAGTGGCAATGTCTCTGACTGCGGTGGGACATAAGTTCTCATATAGATAGTAGGTACGCCTTGTGGACGAGTGCAAAAAACCATGAGAAGTAGGTCAAGTAGGGCTTCTTTCCGATTGCCTCCAACCAACTAACATCCAATTGGTGTTCTTCGGTAGATTACTGACTGGATTGTAGACTGATAACTTAGTTAGGGTTTTACACGGTGAAATGAACGGTGGAAGGTGGAAGAAGAAGATGGAAATCGTAACCAGTTAGGCTGCATGAGTTGTACTTGTGTCATTTACTCAAACGGTAGTAAAGTGGAAACTTTCCTGCACTATGAAATGTGTACCTGGTAAAGATGAGATGAAGTAGGATTCCGTTGTGAATTGGTTCATGTCACTGAACCTTCAAAAAACAGGCTAGAAAAAAAAAGCGAGGTAAAAGTAAAATAGTAGGGTGAATAAAATGTTGATACAAGAAAAATGGTTACTGAACATTGAATAATAATAAAAACCAGCTGTGGTTACTGGTTTCTGCTATCTCCCCAGATCTTAGAAAAGAAGCTTATGACTAAAGTAAAATATCAGTAACTACTTTTTGATGTCACGTTGCCTTTCCACTGGTCTCCGACTGACTACATCATTGAACGCTTCCATAAAAGTAATGTGTTGAAGTACACAGGAGTTCACCCACCGCTACATACTTCAGTTATTTCAAGTAAGCTAGATTCCCATCCTTATCAATCGATTTACATGGCACTTTTCAAACTCAAGAATTGCTAGTGCTGTATAGCCTAAGACAGCCAAGTAGTTGAGGCCTAGTCTCTTTGTCTGCCCTCGGTACTTTTATTGAAAAGATCGCATTAAAATATTCATACGTTGGTTTCATTTTTCATTTTCTTTCATATAGTACTAAAACATAATTTTACCTTCAAAAAAAATATTCGACAATCTTATACTCGTCACATCTTCATGAATTAAGCATACATTTTGACTTTAATGGTCGCTGGTGGCTAGCAGTAGAGTCTGGATTGGCTCACTTCTACTTGAGACTCGTCAGCTGAATGTATCTGCTTCCTGGCGAGTAATGTTGTTCTTGCTAAGTCTGGAACCCAGAACAAAACGCTTCATACGTCAGAGTGTTATCCACTAGGCAACTGAGCCATGATAGCCGCTTTTTAAATTTATGCACTTGAAAACGATAGATTTAGTCAAATAATCGTTTCACTTAGGAGAATAATAAGCAGCTTGTTGAGTTGCATAACAAAAGTAACAACTGTAAAATTAAGTTGTTAATTTTAGGATGTAAGTTGGCTCACTGTGAAACTCAGTGACTGGTAGCCTTTTGTTAAAATCCTATCAATGCATATTTGTATGAATTACAACAGTAATGAAGTAGCCTAGAGTGTTCTAGAAGTTTTTCTCGTGAATCGTTACAAGAGAGGTTTTATTAGTACAGTCTAGTAGTTCATTCCATACATAATAATCCAAGTAGTTTTCAGGTGACTATTATTTTTATCTATAGTATTTATTCTTGAATTAAGAAATTGGTGTATTCGTTTAGATGTAAGTCTTAAGTTTCTGGTCACTTAATGCAGAAAAAAATGCGTAACAGGGTGATATATCTTCACTGTTCACACTTAATAACCTTTCTTTAAAATATACAGTTATAATAAAACTATACATCCTTATTTTATTGATAGCTGCTTATTGCTGTTTACAGCATTTTACCCATCGAAAAGTGTCGATTGAACCTATGAATGGCATGCAGACTATTCGTAATGTTTTAGTGAGCAAAATCTGACATACAGTATTTGTGTAACGCAGAGTATTCAGTCTTATCAGATTCATAACCATGCTTCCTTCATCCTATGATTAAAAGGAAAGCGTGTTTTACCTACGCAATTTGAATAAATATCACTGAATGATATTTTCAAGTTTACACTACTCATAGAACTTAAATTACTCAATGCCTGTTTCAAAATGTATCATTAAAATCACCCTCTTGATAAACTAGACTGATAGTTACTGAAGACTCATATGATTTGCTTGCTTACTTAGATACTTATGTTTTTAGAAATGTAATAAGAAGTCTGATGACTGGATTTCTCGAGGAATACAGATTTTTCTCCTACATTTTAAAATTCATCCTAATTCTTAATTCGTTGATATTCTTTGTTGTTTGCTTTTATTCAGAATTTTCTGTCTATCAAATCGGAAAAAAGGATTGACGATAGGAGGTAACCAGCTTTACACTTCTCTTGTATATTCCAATTTGACAATGTCAGTTAATCATGATACTTACAAACTATCATCATTATTATCAGATGATTTGAAAAATTTCAATCAGCAAACTCACAACAAAAATTGGCTAACATTATACAACTCTGAGAACATATGGCCATCTAAGTGTGATAATTTAATTGATTATAATTTGGATAATAGATGTGAAACAGCATCATGCTCATCTACTGTAGCTAACTGGAATAAAAGCTTACCAAAAGAAGACTTTTGTCCATTACAACAATCGAATCTCTTTGAAGGTATAAATACGATCTATTCATTACAGAATACTAATCCATCCAATTGTAGCACACATAACAACATCAATGGAAGCATAGTCGATTATTCTTTATATCCATCAGTAAATGAACAAAAAGCTACATCACTGATTTCAACTGGATTGTCTGCTTTACCACCATCGAATTATTGTTCTAATTCAGTCCAATCTGTAAACTATCAAAATATGCATGAAATTTCTGTATCATCTAGTATTTTCAGGCGTATCTATAAACCAACGGATTGTAGCACAAATACTGTTACCAGTGATGGACGTTTATTAAAACGTAGGTATACAAAAAATCCTTTAAATGTATCTCGAAGATATGGTGGGAAATATTTACGAAAGAAAATGACGACAATAATAAAGAGTTCAGTCATTGTAAAGTTCAAAATACTGACAAAAGTGTTACCAAAAAAGACAGTAAATACAGTGCTCCTCAGGCAGATTCTACTTGTCAGTTGACTACAAATACTTTATTAAATGAAACTTATCCATTAACTAAAGATATTACTCAACAAAATAAGAACTCATTGGCAAGAAGAAACTTCGATATAGATAACTACGTGAAAGATAGGAATTGTGATAAAGTAACATCTTCTACGTCTATGTCTGCACGTTCAAAACGTAACACAAAGATCGAAGATGAAGATGCAGCCAATACAGTTAAATGTGATAATACTGACGTTAAAAAAGATGTCACAGTTACTGGTGCGGCTTATAAATACTTAACATGGCGTGAAAAGGATCGTAGACGAAGATTTCGAGAAGAATGGAAACATTTATGGCTTGTTATACCACATGGACTTTATGAGGTCAGTCGATTATTGTAATTAAGCTTACTTTGGTTATCATTATTTGGTTATTACAAAATGTTTTAAGAGATAAATTCTTTCAACAGGTTAGTATTCTGCAGGAATATAGGTTGTCTCCGCAAAACGTATTTTCTAATACTTACCAACAACCTTTACAAAAAAGGTTGCTGAACAGTATAACTGGGAAGTATTTGTTTTACACAAACTGATTGTGTATTTAAATTTCTAAACATAAGTAAACTGATACACTTGTACTGATAAACTAAGCAAGTTTTATTTTACAGTTTGTGAATCTTAATCGTTGACTGGACCGAATTAATCGGCCGTTATTGATACACTGGCTTTATGTGAGGTTACCTTGATATTGCCGGTATTTTCAGTTTTGATAACGATGGTGCATAGTGGCTAGCATTGGTATCCAGGACTTACGTTTCGCCTTACTTGGGGATGGTAATTTACCTGCCTCCCAGATAGTGATATTGTTTCTGCTAAGATCTACAAGCTACAACATGGAAACTATGCCATACCCGTTGTGCAAGGTGTGGCTGTCGCAACTTAGTGGCCTAGTGGATAACAACCTAGCATTTGGAGTGAATGGTGCTGGGTTCGAGTCTTAGTGGGAACAATATCAATCACAAGGAAAGAAGTGCACCTGGCTGATGAGTCCCAAATAAGGCAAAACACGCCACCCGGATTCCACTGTTAATCACTGCTATCCATCATTAATACGAAGTTCCACTTTATTTTTGAAGTAAGCAAGATGGTGAACAATTTACTACCTGATTCATTGCAATCTAATTATCCAGATGAGGAGGAATTTTTAGTTCAACTTAATGTGCTGCTTGAATTCCTGTTTTCTTTCTTCACTATCTTAATTGGTATCTTCCTTTCTTCTCTTTAAAAGAAGCTCAAATTATCACTTCCAAATATGACCTATTCATTTGATTATACTCATTACGCTTAGTGTTTAATCTTTATTCTGTTTTATTTCTTCAGTTTGTAAGAAACACTCGTACTCATTAGGACTCATTGAAAACAAGAAATTCAGTTAAGAAAACTGAAATTTAATTACTTAAGAAATAAATAATGGTGGTTACCACAGATAATGACTACAAGTAGAAAAAATATTTTAAAAAAGATGAATTCAACAAAAATTTCAACGAAAACTAATCGTTTAAATGTTTCGGTATCATTCATCATTTATGTAATTAATTAATTAGTTAGCAAGACTATGTACATATATAATTATGTATATATTATATATGCATATCAGCATTTCAATGAGACTTAGTTCCTCGATGTTTTGTCTTATTATAGCTTAGTGATTAAGTATTTCATTTTCTATTTTCTATTTTGAGTATTAGACATGTTTTTTGATCATTAAATTTTTGATTCATTCAGCTTTTATTTTATTATTACCGCTGCTTTACATTGTAATATATTCCGAAGGAAATACTGATCGACTGACGGTGTAAAGTTTTCATTATGGGGTAATATCAATTGAAAAGTTTTGATTATTCATCAGTAACTTAGTGCTTTTTATGTTTATTTCACTACTTATAAGTAGTACACCACAATGAGTTTACATTTTCAGAACCCTTTGATTTTTTCTGTATGTCCTAACATATTCTTCTCTATTGCTCTGATTGTTTTATGTTTCGAAAATGACATTATGATAACATCCTATAACGGTTAAAAACAGTTAACTGTTAGAACACATTTTGGGTTGATGTAGGTGGGAAGTTTTTTTATTTTCAGTCAATTTCTACTTGAATAAGTAGTGCTAACTCAAGTAAGTGAAGGCTTCAAGATGTTTTGATCTTGACAGCATTAAACAATAATCATATTTGTGAGGAGATAGCTTACTAATTAATCATTATCTTCAAGTTTTCAACCATTTTGTCAACTGTAAATTATTTATTAGTTAGCTCACAGATTCAAGTAAGGTGACTTTAATTGACATTATTCAAGATACCTACATAACAAACTTGTCTGCTATCTTCTATATTATGATGTAAACCATCTATTAATATCAAAATTACTTGTTTTTGATTAAGGAAGAACAAACATATGACAAAACTTTTGTTGCTACATTTATTATTCATAGTTGATGAACGCGTTTTTCGTCTGTATGTCATTTTACTCCCTTTAAACTCTCCGCATAAATTTAAGTGTTTGACATTTTAAAGTGGAATTAGGCGATCAAAACCTCTTCGAGTTATATAGTTCATTTTCAAAGTTGTTAAATCTAAAGTACACGTTGAAAATATATCTGAGAAGAAGTTCCTTTAAATGGCGATTTGCGATAACAATGTTCAGTTTATGGGACTGAATCAAGCTACACAGAAAAAAAATGCTTTCCGTTATGGGACATTTGTATATGGAGAGATGACATCCACAGAAATGAACCTCTTTCCTGATAGTTTGACATTCTTGATTGAATCAAAATTTTATTCTTCACTGTATCCAGCATCTTGGTGAGTCATTTTTCTTCTCTGAAATCGTCTTCTGTGTTTTCCGGTGTTCAAACGGGACTATTTCAAAATTTGAAGAATAGCAAGGACCCTTCAATGGTAGAGGAATTGGATACGTTTCTGTGTTTTCCCACCAAACTAATAGTAGGAAACTTGAAAATTTCACTCCTGAATATCCCAAAGTGTTTTAGAAGAATTTCAGACGCGGTTATATCTCTCCTATGTCACATACTTTGAGACGACACACTTTGAACCATATTGCTGTTGTCAGATCTCAATTGCCATAACTAGAACAACAACTATCACAAAGGAGCCGTATTCTTTTTGAAGTATCCGCGGACGAAAGGAAAGAATCTGAAAACTGTTGCTACTATCACCAAGAAGCGCACTGATGAGGTTAACATAAACCTGAACAAGAGTTTGAAGCCGATAACGGATGAAACTATTTTCCCCTTGTGCCCAGAAAAGTATGTATTCAACTATTCGAGTGTATCAATGTCGTCCATTCAAATGCAGGTCTTGTGTCTCGGCCCAAAACTCTGACTTCAATGCAAAAGTACAGTTCAGAAATTTGATTCAATAAACGAAAGACCTAGTTCCGATCTCATCCAATAACCTTGACCATTTTAAACCAGCTGTTCTAAATCGCTATGTAAAATCCAATACTTGACGTATTATCTCAAAGAAAAATCGGGATCCGGTACGGGATTAGGCGAAAAATGAAAGCTTGGTCGTGATAAGCCTTGACCACGGTGCTGAAATAGTGCTTTTGAACGAATCTAATTATATAGATAAGCTTTTACTCATTCTATCAGATGGAAACAAATTTTTAAAACAGGCAGTTCAAGAAGACCCTGCCACTGAAAAAAGCATCGACTATCCAAGATATTGAAGATAAAAGATGAGGCACTGATTGGCACTGAACTCTCCAAACAACTCTATCCATGAAGTTCCTTTATTCCCTGAATATTCGATCTACCCAAAGTGCACAAAGAAGGTGTTTCCCGTCATACAATATTAGACATGACCAATTCACCTAACCGTTCAGCTGCAAAATGGCTGATTAAGATACTGGTGAATGGAATTTCGAAACAGCCTGCGCGATAAATTTCACTTTGTCGATTCAATCAGGAATGTCAAACTATCAGGAAAGAGGTTCATTTCTGTGGATGTCATCTCTCCATATACAAATGTCCCACTAACGGAAAGCATTTTTTTCTGTGTAGCTTGATTCAGTCCCGTAAATTGAAGATTGTTATCTCAAACTACTATTTGAAGGTTGTGTTCGTCATGAACTGACATCAATTGGGAAACCAGTGGAAATCTGGGAGCAGTGGATAGATGTTTCCGCCTATTATGAGACTCATCAGAAGTCCGCATCCATCAGTTCACTAGAGACCGAACCCAGGATCTTCATATTCTACACCAATACTTTAACATTGGGCTACTGGGTCTGCACTCAGCCGTCCACATTCGCTACTTCTGTCGGTTCATGACATCGCGTGACCTTCATCCAGTACCGTCGGTGAGTAACTCTCCCCAAGTCCGACTTGGTGCGCACTACTGAGGAGTGCTACACTCGGACGAAACACCTATGCAGTTACCTCAAGTTTCCAAGATTTCTTTGTTTAATGCCAGTCTATGATGTTCATATTTATTTGTTTGTGTTGAAACCGTTTCTCATTTTTTGATTTTAGAAAGTTGAGATGACATTTTGCCACTTTTTATATCATCAACATCATCATGTCTAATCATGCATAAATAAATAATCAGCAGTCTGTCTGTTTTTGATATCACTGTTCATTGAAAGTTGAAGAGATTTAGTGTTTGACATAGCAGGTAATAATTACTGAGACTGTTGACATTTATATTAGGATGTTAAAATTGACATTAATAACGATGAGAAATAACAAAAGGACTCATGATAAACAAATCTCTTGTATGTTTGTACAATCTCGAAAATATCACACCTTCACTTTTAAACTTTGCTCAACTTATTTCACACATCATTTAAATAATACACGTGTATGCGCAAACAATGAAGTCACTCTATTTGCCGACAATTGAAGACAAAAGTACACTTCATTCTTATGAATATTTTGTTGGCATTAGTGACAAACAGCGACAAGGTGTAAGGCGGAAAGACAAAGAATGAAGAAAGTAAAGGAATAAGTCTAGGTAAAATTTTAGATAACTACAGACAATAAAACAAAACAAGAACGGCATGTGATTTTCTTCTTCTTTTTTTAAGGCACAACGACAAAAGAAGTAATGAAAATATATAAAAAATCAACATTATTTTGTCATTTTTATCTTCATATTGTAAATAATCTTACTATTTAGAAATATTAATCCACAAACTGATAGATAGATCAACTACTTTCATTTTGTTTAAAAATTCCTCTTCATACCCCATTCATGCATAAAAATATTAAGCAAAACATTGGTAAGCATTTCAAGTTATTGTCAGATATTGAAAATTGAAAATATGTATATCAACATCAGCCATAAATATTAACTGTCACC